TCTATTTTGTTGAAAAATGTATAGGCAGTTTGTTTCCTTTTTTCTGGTTTTCTAAGTTGCTGCAGTGTGTTTGTGCTCATCAAAATAATGTTCCTACATAGCTTCTCTTGTGTTGAGTTGTTACTTTAGTAGTGGAGTACTTGGTTACTGTGGGTGGTTTTTAGATAGGCTTGTGTTTCTAATTTCCTCTACTGATGAGAACATGCATGAAAAGTAGTTTGTTGTTGTTTAATGAATTTTATTTCTTTGAAGATGTTGTTGATAGTTGCATGTGTCTTCTCTAGTTGTTCCTTTTTTATTAGGACAGAGGTATTATTTACATACTGGATCCATATTTTTGGTTGTGTGCATGGGAATATTTTTGTTTCCAGACATTGCATTAGTCTCTGCTCTGAAACCTGAATCTTTTGTTCTTCCAAGTTCAACATTGCTTATAACTGGATTCGGTATATCAGGGCTTCTTCTATTATAAGGGAAAAAATCCCATTCATTATTCATGTATTATGTAGTTTTGAATTTAATAAAATTATTTCCTTTGGCAAAACAACTGGTTAGGAAACATAAACTTACCATAATACCAAAACTTCCATGTGCATTCAGGGTTGATACCCACTGAATGATGTTATTGTATCCACAATAAAGAGCAAAGTCCTAAACACTGAATGAATATGCAGGCTAAAGCTTTATCTTGTCCTGCAGTTCTCAAATGTAAGCAGGTAATTTATACCATTCTAAGCAGATAGCAGCTTTTTGCTTATATATATATAAGTTATAGCAGCTTTTTGCTGCTTTCATTTACACAAAAGCTGATTCTTTGGGGCTTTTCTGTCAGCCATTGTTTATTTGATGGAATGAGGTTGATGAAAGAATTTCCCCAGCTTCCCTTTAGTGAGCATTGAAGGTGAATTGTTATTAGAAGAAAATTTTGCATCCCTCTGAGTGATTTTTTTGGATCTTGTTTGCAATTTCAGCACTTTACATTAGTTAGCATTTTTTATAAATATGAAATAGTACTATCTTGCATCAGATCATCCGTTTTGAGTATGCTATAAATATAACAGTGTCCCTTTAAAAAGTTTGTGTGAAAATGCCTCACTTAAATGAAGCTATGTTTCTTTCTTTCTCATATGTGTTTTGTAGGTCAGAGCCATTATTTATTTCAATAGGTTAAAGAAATTTTAGTAAAGGGCATTTTTACAGATAATTTGCTGCCTAGGACATATCTAAATTATTGATAACCTAATTCGGTGTATCTTTTTCTTTGAACTTATTTTGTTGAAAGTTTAAGAAACAGTCATATCTTTATTGATGGATGAATAATGGAAGTTACCTGCCAAAAATGTACTTTCTCTGCTTCTTGTTCCATAGAAGAAAACAATGTAAAAAAAATTGTTCAACCAACCTAGAAATAAGGGGAAATTTCCTGACAGTTAGAACAATTAATCAGCAGAATGACGTCTCCAGAGGTTGTGGGTGCTCCATCACTGGAGGTTTTCAAGAAGAAATTGGACTGGACATTTGTCTAAAATAGTGTAGGGTCTCCTGCTTCAGCAGGGCGTTGGGCTGAAGATCTCCAAGCCCCTTCCAACATTGTTATTCTGTTCTTTTTGTACTGTATCTACTACTACACCTAGTGATTGGATGATAAAACCTCTGGTTTCTGCTGTTCATTCCTATACTCTGGTTTCTTAATTCATTTTATTATTTTGTAATTTATCCAATATATACAAAACAATATGGACAAAATACCAGATCTGGCACAGTGGCACACAATCTTTACATGCCCTCCTCAAGTTCTTTTGCACTTTCTTATTTGTTGTAATGGGGTGCTCCTAGGAGAGATGAACCAAAAATGCTGGATTGTACATCAGGCGTATGTTTTCCCAACAGGGTCACTCAAGAGATGAAGGTCATTCCAGTTGTCCAGTTAAAGCAAACAGGCACCTTTGCTGGGCAGCAATCATATAAGAACATGTCAGTGGAGGATGATCACTATAGTAACAGTGACCAAGATATCATTTCATACTGCATAGAAGAATGGTAAAGCACTCCTATACTTGACCAAGAAAACCACAAGCATAGATAGGATAAAGTGATTGATGATCAAAGCAGGATGATAGGGTCCTTTGGCTGGAGGGCACTTAATATGCTATTGATGAATAGCTAAGGATCGATCCTTTGGGGTATTAATGGGGTTTATCATGTGGCTATCTTAAAGACTTTGGGATAACTAGTTGCTGATGTGCAGGAAAAGAAAATCTGAAGTTGCAATAACTGAATTATAGTAGGAACATGGAACATAAGAACATGGAAAAGCTCAACACAATGAAAGGTGAAATAAAACAATTGCATGTTAACATATTAGACAAGAGTGAATTGAAATGGTCTAAAAATGGACACTTTCAGTCAGATTATATTATTTACTATTTGGGACACAAAAAGCAAAGGTGTGGCATTTCTTTCATCAGAAGGATATAACAAATACAATATTTGGATACAGTGCAATCAATGATCAGATAATTTCAAACACGCTTCATTATGCTCCAACTACTGATGTAGAAGAAAAGAAATTTGACAAGTTTTATATGATCAAGTTCAGTTTGAAATATACGGAACAGGGAAGTCAAAAACATATTTGGATTGTTTGGCTTAAGAAATCAAAATGAGGCAGAAAATAACTTATCAATTTCTGCCAAGCCAATTATCTTTTCATTGCTAACATAGTCTTCCAATAACCAAAACAGTGTCTGTATACATGAATATTGCCAGATGGAGTAGATGGAAATCAAATTTACTATATCATTAGATAAGGAGGCAGTAAAGACAAGGCCAGGGACTGACTGTGCAACAAACTGTTCATGTGCAAGTGTCAAGTAAAACGAAAGATGAAGAAGAAAAAACCCTGCCAGTTTCCACAACACGATCTTGACCACATATACACCATTTTCTAGCAAACATCAGGAACTATTTTGAAATCACTTGTTGAGATGAGCAGCTGTAGAAATCGAATGTACATATGTACCCCCAGGATATTATCTACATATTTTTCTTTCATTTCCTTGTAGCATGATAAATATTGGCTCAGTTTATATATCAAATGGATGAAATATTTGTGGCTTATGAGCATTTCATATAATGCTGATTTTTCAAATTTTGCACCATATCCAAATACAGGGAACAATAAGGTGTGGGGCTATTTTGTGCAACCATTAAAATCACACGCTGAGAACAGATTATTGAAGGAGAAGTATAGTTTATCTCTATGCAGTCTCTTTATAAATTTGTTCCCTCTGTGTGGATATCTTACCCAGGCATTTAATAAGTTGCAATATAGTGTATCTTTGCCTGAAAGGCCACAGATATACACACAGATAACTACTTGCAACCTCAAATCGGATCATTTAGGACAGGCATGTCAAACTGCCAGCCCACGGGCCGGATGCATCACACCGGAACCACGCCCACCCTATTGCCAGCAATGGGGAAAAAGTCGTGATACGTCGTGCAACGTCACGTGACGTCGCGAGTTTGACATGCCTGATTTAGGACAAGCCCCCTCCCAACTGTGTTTACAAGCTATGAATCTACAGGTGCTTTTTATTCTGGATTGTCCAGAATAAGAACAATTGAGGACCTCATGGCAGCACGGCAGAACACAATTCATGTTGCTAGTTTCTGGGCAAGATCTGTTTAACTTGTACATATTTTAATATTGCATTTTATATTTTATCTTGTAGACTATGCCTTGTTTTAATTGTGGTGTTTCTGACACAAATAAACAAACAATTACAGGAGGGTGAAGTGAAGAAGAAGAGCAAAATGCTACCTGATACTATCGCCCAACTATATCGCAGCCCATAGAGGTAGTCCTCGGCTTAAAATAGTTTGTCTAGTGACCGTTCACAGTTACAGCAGCACTGAAAAAGTAACTTATGACCATTTTTCACACTTATGACCATTGCAGCATTCCCATGGTCATGTGATGAAAATTCAGATGTTTGGCAACTGACTCATATTTATGATGGTTGCAGTGTCCTGGTGTCATGTAAATCGCCTTTTGTGACCTTCTGACAAGCAAAGTCAGTGGGGAAGCCAGATTCACTTAACCGGGTTGCTAACTTAACAACTGCAGTGATTTACTTAACAACTGTAGCAAGAAAGGTGGTAAAATGAGACAAATGTCTCACTTAGCAACATAAATTTTGGGCTCAATTGTGGTCGTAAGTTGAGGACTACCTGTATGTATCTCATGGGTGATTGTAAGGAAGATCCTCTTGAGAGGGAATACAAATGGAGCAGCAGGCAGGAGTGTATTCTTCATTTATTGTTCAGACTGATGCATACTTAAAGAACTGAGATATGTATGTCATATAAACAGTAAATGAAACTGAAAAATGTTGTTTAAATGCACAGCTTTTATCAGCTATTGAACTGGTTCTCGTTGTTTCTACATGTGGTAGTATTCAGATAGTTCAGTAAAAAGCCAATGTAAATTCTTTCAACCGTGAAACAGAACAGAAGCTGAACTCAAAGTATGAAAGAGAAACATATTTTACAAATCATATCTCTGAAATGTGGTTAATCCTTTTCAAACACCATAACTGAAAACAAGAGCCTGACAACAGCAACATTAAGTAAAACATCAAAATATTGTATTAATTGGTTTTGCCTCAGCAGATATACTTTAATTGTACACAGTCATGTTCCTGAAGTGAGCCAAAGATAATTTAGACTAAATTGCCTGTTAGAATGCTGTATTATCCACATGTAGCCTCCAGGAAAATATATATATATATCACTCAAGTGTTGCTAAAAAAGAACATTATTTAAATATGATTGCTGCATCATAACTCCAAATAAACTAAACAAAATTTCACCATCTGTAACTTTAGTGCCTGTTATGTCCTTGAGGATTCATCGGAGAAGAAAAATATTGCAATGAAATTTGATCTCTTACTTTTGAAAAACCTGTTTATTATTATTTTTCTTTTACTTTCTAGCAATCCCCGGTTTTTGATGATTGCTCTGGCCTATGCAATACCACTGGGAGTTTTCTCAGGATGGTCTGGTGTTCTTGATTGGATATTAACTCCAGTTCACATCAGCCAAGTAGGTGCACTTTTGTGTCTCTGTGGGTGTCAGTGTCTGTGTTTTTTTTTTATGGTTTGCTGACAAAAGATTGGTTTTGTGATTTAGAATTTAAATAACAAGCAGAATGACTGATGTTCTATGAAATTAAAAGTGGCATTGTAGAACCTGAACTTAACTGAGCTGCTTCATATCTGAATATTCAACTTTGGGGAAAGCCTGAACCTTAATTTGTTGGCCTCCAGGAGAGAGATGGTAATTTCAAATTTCATTGCTAGTTCACAAATGTGAATTTGAAAAACCAAAACTTTTCCATTAGCATGAAGACAAAGAACAAGAATAATTAGAGTGGCTTTATAGTTTGTTTCCTTAGAGCAGGCATGTCAAACTGGTGGCCCACGGGCCGGATGCATCACACTGAAACTGCACCCACCCCATTGCCAGCAATGGGGAAAAAGTTGTGATACGTCACGCGACATGTTGCAAGTTTGACATGCCTGCCTTAGAGGAATTCCACATAAAGTTTAGCCCAAGACTTTTTCATAAGCTATCCTCACATACAACTACTGGGTTTCCCCGAAAATAAGACCTATCCCAAAAATAAGCCCTAGCTTGATTTTTATGTGTCTTACATAAGACACATAAATAAATCTTACCCCAAAATAAACCCTAGTTAAAACCCCACCCACTCCATCCCACTGTGGTTGCACGGGGTTAGATTGGGAGGGGGAGCAGGGGGTAGAAAGCCTACCAAACTAGTCTGTTGGGGAACGTAGCTGATTGCATAGCACTGGAGTGGGAAGTTTAACTTTGTTATAGTGTAACTCTTTGGAGGGAATTTCACACTTGGTTTCACTTTTGACCTTGTCAGTACTATGTAACCAATAAACATATTCTTTGAAACCTCTTGTCTCAGAGTTCTGATTCATTTCGTTTCATCTATCTTGTCACATTGGACCTTTTGAATTCAAGAACCTCCCCAAATGCATATTAGAGGCAGAGCTTTGTAGAGAAGTTTTAATCAAGAACAGAATGAAGTACAGATTTCTATCTAATTGAGGTAGAAATCACCCAGAATTGCTTCAATCATGCTGTGTTTGTGCTTTTGTCTCAAGCTGGAGCAAATAGTAGTATTTTCAGGGTATTAAAAATAAATAGCTGGATATCATAGATGGAATAAAGAAGAAAAAAATGGTATCTATTGAAATAGGCATTATTTTTAGAAAGTTAAAGAAGGAAAGTGGCAGAAAGATTTTTTTTTAAATATCAACAGATCATATTCTTAATGTTTAATATTGAAACCGATTGGGAGTAGATCTAGAGGTGTCTACAGGATCTGATGCTTTCATCAAATTGATGAAAACAGTCTGAAATGGAAGTTCTACCCCTTTTGTATGTGAATGCAATGTCACAATGCACATATGAAAGGAATAGACCGCTCCTTCCCCTTGTGGATGCCTCTGGTCAGACTGAAGTCAGCGTAAAAAGAATACATCTCATACACCAAGGGTGCTAACTTGTATTTGCTTTCTCAAGAGGGTTTTGAGAAAGCAGTCTTGAGGATCTTGAGAAAGAGCATCTGCGTTCTTAGATGGCTTAAAAAGAGATTAAGCAGATTACGTAATTGATAATAAGTCAGTCAATAGCCAAATAGAAACTTACTTTCAGGGCTGTAGTCCAGAATACTTATATACAAATAGCAAATATCAACCCAAAAAAAATTTTTTCCAGGTGGATGCAGGTTGGATTGGATTTTGGTCCATTGTAGGCGGCTGTGTTGTTGGCATAGCACTAGCAAGGTAAGCTTTACTTTTTTCCTCTCTTATTTTTCTTTAGCGAAATTGTCTTTTAGTTATCCTAAAATAATACCCCCTGAAATCATTTCCTCTCTCCCATGACAATTGTAAAAAAAATCATTTTCTATAGGTTAGAGATATATTCATCTTCTATCCAGAATAGTAATTTGTCATTTTTTTAAAAGTCCGTGAATGCTGAAAATCCCATTTGTTCAGTCATCAAACTAAGCAGGGTGTATTACTGTGTTTGAAAACTACTCTCGGTCCACTCCATCCAAAGGTGGAAGAATACTTAGATGAAGTAATGAAGGAACGATGGGTATTTTGCTCATGTTTTGCTTTCATCTCTTCCATTATAGTTGTGATTGATTCTTTGGGGAAATTGGATATTATGGGGTTGGTTTGAATGTTACGGTGAATTATTTAAACATCTTGTGAGAGTCTTGCTGTATTTCCATTACTATAAACCCCTGACTATATGTGAGTTGTGAACTTCTGAATATCATAACATCAAAGTGCTTAATACAAAAGATGTTTAGAAGTAGAGGATATTATAATGATTTGTTACATCTATCATTGGGTTCCCAAATTATATTAGCCATATAAATTGTTCAGCTTAATGAACTTTCATGCAGAAAGGAATTAATATAGTTAATAGTCCAAATAATATATGATTATGATCAAATGATGAAATCATGGCTGAATAAAGCACATATCCATAAGATGTAAAATGCCCTCATGGAACCTTTTTCTGAATTTCAGAAGAATAAGCCAGCTATAAATGTTCATTTAACCATAGCTTCTCTTTCCTTCCAAATCAGAAACTATGAATAATTATTCCAAGCTGGCAATGATCATAAGCCAGTTTTAAACTATGGTTTAAATTTAGCTTATTTTATTTGGAAACTATTGGTTGTAGTTCCTAATCTGGATATAATGGGAAGTGGTGATTAAATGTGGGTTTGCAGGCTCTCTTTCTTACCCAAAACGAAGAGTGAAATGGCAAAAAAAAAAGCTTATATGTGATTCAGTGTCACTCATATAAATGTATAGCTTAGCTTACGGGTAGCCAACTGCAGCCTGCTTTTTGCTACATAATGCTCTTTATAAACATAAGAGCTGGAAGCTGCTGCCATGGTTTTCCATCACACTTTAAAGTGTAAGTTTGAACATGGGTATATCACAAAGAAAAAAATTAAAAACCCTCTCCTCTTTTTGACAAAAACAAGCCCTGCCTATACTAGTTAAAGTGGTCCTTCACATTTTATGGCCTCAACTTCCCCTTTAATTTTATGTTCAAGGCCACAAACACAAAAAAATCATCCCCTACTTTTACATTCATTGTTTTAGAACTGAATATGATGAAACCTACAGAGCTGTGAAATTTTCCAGATCAGCATTTTGTAGCATGATATATTTGTTGCATATCTGATAACACAGAATTAATTTTAAGTTCTTTATAGTTTTTTGTATGTGTTTGTCTCTTTTTTTGAATGTGCCTTTCTTTTGAGATTATTTTCAGAAGTTTACCGAGAAACTATCTTTAGAAAGGCCTACTGTTTAAGCATCAAAACTAAACTAAATTAAAATATAAATACGGTAAGTGATAATGTTTGGTATGGTAGGTATGCTGACTTGAGTTGACAAAAAAAAATAAAGGCAGAATAAATCAAATAAATACCTTTTTAAGGATTTCATTTTCTTGTGCTTTTAATAACTAGTTGGTACCTTACATCTTTGTTTTGATTCTTGCTTTTTCCTCCTTTTTCATCAGACTTTGATCAGATTTTTTTCTTCAGGTTGATAAACTTTCAAAACTATGATTCAATATTTATTTTATTATTGTTTTAGTTTACAGTTTTAAGCCACTTGCACATTCTTGCACATGAAACAGGAATATTGTAAATAAATTAAGTGTAAACATGTGATTCCAATGAATTGATTTGATTCCAATGAATTGATTTGACTTGATGGCTGTTATATTGTTTACATTGGCATAATTGTAAAGTGCCTCATTATATCATATGGCTAACATAATATTTCCTAGGCTATAATTCTTGTTATTCTGCATAATTATCCTTTATCAAGGATTTTTTTCTATCTCTGGGTCAACAAAACTCCTTTAAGATCTATGGTATGAAAAACTCACACAATCCTCTAATTTCATGTTACCCTGAGCCTAATTTCCAAAGCCTTCTTAAAGTTCACATCAGAGCTATTTGTCCATTCTCTGGTGTCTTCTGTATGTGAGAAAGAGAAGAGCTTGTTGGAAGGGAAAGAACTTTTAATAGTGAAAATGAGGAGTTAAAGAAAAATTTATATGCCTCTTCACCATCTTAGCTCCTCTGTGTTAAAGAAAACAAGATATGGAAATTGTGCAGATCATGATTTCTAGAATGCTTTCCAGACCTATTCAGCACTGGCCATAGGAAGCACCTCTGTTTTCTTTTATGTAGCAAACTTAAATGTTTGTGTGTGGGGGAGAGAGGGAGAGATTCCACTTTTCCTCCACTTTTCTGTGCATATGTGCTCCTTTCAGTGCGCAGGGTGAGTCCTTATGCACCGCTCTGTGTCAGAGACCAGAAGAAGGAAGGGAGAGGAACATTGCATTGAACAGCCAGCAATAGTCAGGGATGATCCCAAACAACTATCCTGCTAACATGTCTAGGAAGGACTTTATTCTGGATTGTTTTTCTCTTTAGCCCCAAGAGAATATGACTGATTTTCAGACTTAAGTCTTTTTTTTTGCTAGCTTTTTCTAGCCTCACCAAGTTTGGTCCCATTGGGTTGTTTTTTCGAAGAGTTGTCCTGTTGATGGATAGCTAGAGGGAGTTCCTCTATAATTTCTTTATATAATTTTCTTTCATTTTTCCATTCGGCTTGAAGGAATAACAATGGCATTTTCAAAAAGGAGACACTGCTTGCTTCAGTCACGGCCTCTGTTGGCCTGAAGCCTTGAATAAATTAGCCATGCTTGAAAAATGGTTGCTTTCGAACGTGTTTTTAAAATCTGTTTAAATGCATTTGCCTGTATTAAAATTAAAAGCATTATCGTGTTCACTCCTGGTGCTATATACTGTAGCAATAATTGCAGCATAGGGTTTTTTAGAAGTTTTATGTTTATGGTTGGTTGGGAGTTGCTAGTCTTAGTTTATGGATTAATAATCTTACTGAAGTAATTAAAATACATTACAGCTAAATAGAGAAACATAAACATGATGTCAGATTTGGTGGTAAAGTGTAAACTTCCCAGATGTGCAGAAAAACTGCACAATTGCCATATCCTTTTTTTTTTTTTTGAAACACATTTTATTGGTTTTTTAATTCTTAAGACAAAGTGCTTGAGACACACCATGGTGCTAGGGTAATCAAAAATCCAAAAACAAAAGATATATAAATGACTCAATCAGTACATCAAATATTCCCTCTCTATTTCCCTCAAATTGCTTAGTATATTTAAAATAGTCCATTTCTAACTTAAATTTCTATTAATCCTAAACCTGTTTTAGAGCTTTATACAATTACAATACCATAATCAAATTTAACTTGAAATAAACACATTATCAGTTCAAGTATCTCTTCCAAATATATCCTACTTCCTTAATTTTATCTTATTTATTTCTTCTTCCACTAATATCTCCCAATTAAAATAAAATATTGATCTATCCTATACATATCTAATTCATCAATCAATCAATTTCTTTAAACTAACAAAGTATTATCAACCTTAAATCATTTAAATCCATTAAACAAAATTCTAATTTCATCCAATTAATTATCATACCTAATAACATCCATATTATCAAACATACACATCATCTTATTAAAATAACATTCCATTAATTATTAGTTCAATCCCGATCTAAAACACCTCTTCAATTTTCTTCATTCCATTACATAATAGTTTTCATACAAATAAACCTAATATTCCAAAACATACATTCTTATTCTATTTAATATATATATTCTAATAATCACCCATTTTCCTTACTTCTAACTCAAAAACTTAGTCCTTAAATCAATCCGTAGTTCTAAAATGCCTTGAATCCAGTATGTATAGTTTAAGTTTCTCTTTTCAGTCTTATTCTAGGCTTCTTTTTATGCCAAGTAGGTTTCCATAACAGAGCTTCCCTTTCAGCCGATAGGTCTCTCTTTGTTGCTTGTAATACCATTTGAGACAGTAAAAAACCTCCTGTCCTCTGCATTGGACTTCTATTTCTTTTATCCTTGAGGCCTCGCTGCTTTAAAAGTTCAAATCTCACTCTTTGCTTTTTCTAATCCTCAAAAATGCAGATAAGATACTTGTAAGGTAAAATAAGTTCCTCTGCATTCTCAATGAAGTAATCTTTTAGTGTATTTTGGTTTGTAGAATAGTCAAATGTAATCTGAGAGTCAATTTTAAGATTTGAAGGAGAGTTTCTGGCTCTTAATTCTGTGGTAGTCTCTTTCATTGTAGCAAATTCCTCTTTAGTCTCCCTTAGTTCCTCTTCTGGTCTATTTTGGTTTGTAGAATAGTCAGATGTAGTCTGAAAGTTAGTTTGAGAGTTTGGGGTAGAATTGGCTCTTTGTTCTGTGGTAGTCCCTTTCATTATGGCACATATTTCTTCAGTAGCTTCATAAATCTTTTCCACTATAAGCTTACAGTCTAAGTGTGAGTAAAATTTCTCCATTTTAAAAGTGATTAAAGAAGATCCTTTCTTCTTTGTTTTTAGTGAAAACTGTAGTTAAGCAGTGTCCACCCCCTCAGTTCCCACAGCTGCATCATCTTATCTTTTCCAGAAATAGTTTGAAGGTCAGGTCCTTCTCTCCAAAGGATAATCCACAGTTGCAATATTAACTTTTCACCACTAGATGTCCTCAGTAAATAAAAAATCTTTTCCAGACACCATTTTTTTCCTTTTTCTATCTTTTGAAGAAAAAAGTGGAGAAAGAAATAATCTTCCAATATGAAATAATAATACAATTCAAAAAAGCGGGGTTTTTTCTGTATCCCAAAATGAATG